GGATTTGAATTCTTCTGTAACATTTTAAATCAATCCAGGTGTACCCATCTTCAGAAATAATGGACCCCAGTGTCTCAGAATTACAGAGTCTTCAACATGTCCAAAGCATTTCATGAAAATTATTCCACTGTGAAGACTAGAGTGGTATAACCCTCTTCATGGATTCTGCTTCCTAAAGAGGCTGAGTTCAGAGGGACTAAGTCACTCTCTTTTTAGCAAATAACTAACCAAAAGGGCAGGGAAGGGAGGTGAAAGACGTCATAACCAGGCCAGTAGAATCCCCTGGTCTTGCCATTACATGTGATGATTTCAAACGGCTTCTTAGTACCTTAATTTTAAGGGAAAAGAGTAAAGGAAACCAGCCAATGCTTTGCATGCTCAGTTTCTGCCTATGATACTGAACTCAGAGAACTGAGATCTTTGGAGAAACCAAAGATGGCTCAAATGACTCCTGATAATAAATGAACATATTTCTCCTAGCTGACAAATTGAAGTTTCCTAATTATAAAGCAGAACCAGCAGCCACCACCATAGAAAGCCAACCCCACAGATGGAGAAGAGGCAAAGCACTGAAACTCAGCCTGAGGGGCCTGCCCAGCCTTGGCGGCAGGGCCAAGTGGGGCTCCTTCAGGATCAGAAAAGCAATTTTTCTCATCAGCAAACCATCCTCAGAGAAGTTTGTAATCAGGGCACTATCTTCCAGGCCTAGAGACCCAGGGAAAGGGGCACAGGGGTGTCCCAAGGCAAAGGGAGTCTACACATTTTGCCCCAGGAGAGGCTACTTCCCTCCCAAGATGCCTGGGATTTTCCACTTCAGCAAGGGGGAAGGTAAGTCAGCCCATAGCAAAACAATGAGGGCACAAAACAGATGGCCTCCCTACGGAGCTTTGAACGAGAAATACAGCAGGGAAGATGTGCCCCTTCCCTAGCCTAGGAGGAGCTACGTGCAGCCCCTGCACATCCTCCCCCTCAGAAAAGCTGAGGCCAGACCAAGGATCTACAATTGGACATCAGAGCTGAGGCCTCAAAGCTAGGACTGAGACTGGACCAGGCAGGAAACTGTCAAGAGCTTTGGTCACCAGGCCTGGCTGCCCTCCAACATCAGCTGGCTCTTTCCAAACGGACATATCACATGTCCCTAATATTATCTCTTCAAATAATACCACCATCAAAGCAGGACATTTCCCAGAGCCTTCAAGCCTCGTGTCTGCTCCGTGGGATTCAATCCCAGAAGCTGTTAAATCACCCACTGTTTCAGTTTGCAAACTTCTTATGACTTGGTGACGAGTGAAACTACATTCTGACAGCAACTGCAAGTTCCCTAGTACCCAGGACTTCCTGTTTTTTCTTGCTAGACTCCCTCCTGTTAAAACACAGACTCATCCATCTCTAGCTCCTAGAATATAGAGAAAGAGCACAACACTACATCTTAACTCCTGAGACATGGAGAACACCTCTCCTCCTGAGAGCTTAGGTACCAAATGGATGCTACTTTTCCCCATTGGTCTCAAAAGTATTACTAGATTATGAACTGGACTCTACCACCATGTAGGAAAGCAGTCATGGGTGGTAATTCTGGGAGACCCAGACGGGACCAGCCAGGAACCCAAGTTGCTGCTTCCTCCCTGTACGCTCCCATTTGTTGGGCCTCTCTGGATCTCAGCTGGTGCTCACTTCAGATCAGCTATGATGCAATCCAGTAACTAAAGTATTAGTTAATAAATGCTGACAGCACAGCCTTTACTGGTCACTTATTTATATTAAAATATGGGGGAGAGTTTAGGGGACGGGGGACATAGGGGAAATCTCTGTACCTTTTTCTCAATTTTGGTATGACCTAAAACCGCCCTTTAAAAAATACAAGGGGCTAGGCACGGTGGTTCACGCAGGTAATCCCAGCACTTTGGGAGACCAAGGTGGTTGGATCGCCTGAGGTCAGGAGTTCAAGACCCACCTGGCCAACATGGTAAAACCCTGTCTCTAATAAAAATACAAAAATTAGCCAAGCGTGGTGGCACACACCTGTAGCCCCAGCTACTTGGAAGGCGGAGGCAAGAGAATCCCTTGAACCTGGGAGGCGGCGGTTGTAGTAAGCCAAGATCGTGCCATTGCACTATAGCCCAGGTGACAGAGCAAGACTCCCATCTCAAGAAAAACAAACAAACAAACAAGGAATGAGCTCTTCAAGTGAAAAATCCATAGAGATGTAAAGGAAGGAAGCTATCGTGGCAGAATTGTGCATGTTACATTAATGTTTTTGGAGCAAGGGAGAGCTCATCTCGCCCACAAGCAAATGCCAGCCCAAGGCATTGATACTAATAGAGTGCCATGCTGGCAATGTGCAGGGGGAAGACAGTGTCCCCAACCTCTCTACACACATGCATTCCCACAATTTGCCCTTCCTTGACCCCAGAAGCTTCAGGCCCCTTCACCCTCAAGGGTCACTCTCCAGGAGTTTGAATTAATGGCAATCACCATGCACAGGGGAGGCTGTGGACGTCTGACATAAAATCACTTAGCAGAAAGCTTGGAAAAAGTAGGAGCAACATACAAACTGGACTAATTATCTACAACAAGAGACTTGGTTTGGGGATCTTAATGTTCTCAAAAAAGAGAGAAAATCTTTTTTTTTTTTCATTTTGCACTTTGTGCCATAAGGCATTTTCAGCAAAACACAAAATCTCATTTCTTCTGAGGGAAAATGACTGGAAAACCAGCTCATGGCTGGCACAGAGGCTGGCTTGTTCATAATTCATAGCCAAAACACCAGGTGAACTGACAGAGCTCAGCTGGAAGAGTTCTCCAAGGCAGAGACTCAGAGCCAAGGAAAGTTATGAAGAACTAGCATTCATTGTGTGATTACTATGCACCCGGAATTTTTTACACTCCATCACACTGAATCTTCACAGCAGCCCTAGAAGGGAAGAACTATCACTAGCCCAGTTTTATAGGTGAACAAACAAGGGCACAGATCCTTGATGTAACAGCCAGGATCAAACAGCTGGGTAGACAAGAAAATCTTTCCCTGACTCGAATAACAGAGGATTTGGTTGAAAATATAGGAGATTATGTGCTATCCTCTAGGAAAAGGAGCCAGGAAAGGAAGGAGACCCTTTTCCCTGCATGCTCCGATGTTCTATTTGAACATTTTATCATGGACACAAACTTCCTATTTAAAAAACACTTTTTATTGAAAAGATAAATCTGTGTGTTGTCTTGTGTCACTCAGTTCAAGTACTTGAAATTTATTGAATTGTATTATCTAAAAAATAGATACTTGAGTAAAAGCAATCCCACATTACACAGACAGATCACAGTGCATGGCCCGAAGAGCTGGGAGTGGTGGCTTCGTTTCGTGCAGTAAAGAGAACTTGGTTCGGGAGTGTCTATGTGGCTTAAGACTGGAGAACACTAAAAGTGAAACCACCCAGCCATCCTCCCCCATTTTCATTTTCACACCAAAAAATCCCACCACAGCAGAGGACCACTGTCTCTGTTTAGACAATTGGTGAAGAATGGATGACCTCACTTTCCCCAACAGGCGGGTCCTGAAATGTTATGCACAAAACAAAACTTGAGTAAATGCCCAACAGAGGTCACTGTTTTATCTATCGCGAAGAGATCTTTTCTTAGCAAAGCCAAAAAACCGATTGTGATGTTAACACCATGTTTGGTAAATAAGTGTTTTGGTGTTGTTGCAAGGGTTCTGGTTTCAGCCTGAAGCCATCTCAGAACTGCCTGGGTCTCTGGAGACTGGAAGGACAGTCAAGTCTAGAGCCCATTTGCATGAGACCAAGGACCCTCCTGCAAGAAACAACGTCCTGAGGGAAGAGGGCTTCTGTACAAGCTTGACCCAGTAAGAAAGCCAAGGACTGGAAAGCAGATTCTGAGCCTAGAGCTGCGCCTGTGTCAGTAGTTTCCTTCCAGCTTCCTTTGATTTCAAATCAAGACTTACAGGGAGAGGGAGCTATAAACACAAGCTCTAGAAGATGCCACAAGGTCCTCCTTTGACATCCCCAACAAAGAGGTAAGTAGTATTCTCCCCCTTCCTGCCCTGAACCAAATGGGCTCCAGTAACTTCAGGGCTCCATCAGACCCCGGGCCCATGCAGGTGCCCCATGGTGCAGGGGGAAGAGATGCAGGTGGCAATGGAGACAGCATTGACAGCACAAAGCAAGCCTCTGGCACAGGGAGCAAAGTCCTCACTGGTAGGATTCCCAAGGGGTCACTTGGGAGAGGGCAGGGCAGCAGCCAACCTCCCTGTAGTGGGCTGAAGCAGGTGAAGAGGAAAGCGGCAGAAGCCACCCAGTGGCAAAAAAGGAGTCACACACTCCACCTAGAGACGCCTTGAGATAACTGCACACCTTGAGATTAGAGAGTGGCCAGGCAGTTCTACAACAGCTGCTCACAGGGTGAGCCAGGACACAGAAGAACTCAGATGACCAGTAGTATTACCTTCTTCATAACTTCAGGCTGGGGGGCCCGCGACAGAGTCAGAGGAAACTCAGTTCAGAACATCTTCGGTTTTTACAAATACAAATTAACTGGTATAAAAAATTCTAGCCTGTTCGTCTGGTCACTGAAGTTTTTTTTTTTTTTCTTCCAAAAAACATAGTCAGCTTTAGCTCATTTTTTTCTCTGTAAAACTTCGTGCCTGACTTCAGCTTTACTCTTCGTAGGACATGCCAAGTTGCTGAGTCACTAATAAAGAAAGTAAAGGAGGAGTGATTCTGCTTCTTAGCCTCAGTGACGACCTAAGCTGCACTTTTTCCCCCAGTTGTGTCTTGCGATGCTGAAGGACGTCACATTGCACAATCATCTTAATAAGGTTTCCAATCAGCCCCACCCTCTCTGGCCCCACCCCCACCCTCCAACGAAGATTTATCAAATGTGGGATTTTCCCATGAGTCTCAATATTAGAGTCTCAAACCCCAATAAATATGGGACTGGAGATGTCCGAGGTTCATTCTGCCCTCGAGCCCACCAGGAACGAAAGAGAAGCTCCATCTGCCCCTCAGGAACCCAGCTATGAACTCTCTCTCCACAAGTAAGTGCAGGAAATCCCTAGCCCTGGAACCGCCAGCAGCCCTGTGTGAGGGAGGGGTGTGTGGCCCAGGGAGGGCTGGCGGGTGGCCAGCTGCGAAGGCAGGCTCCCAGCTGTGCTGTCAGCTCACCCGTGCACTGGCTTCCCTCCGGCACAGGCGCCTTCAGACCAGTTGCCTTCTCCCTGGGGCTGCTCCTGGTGATGCCTGCTGCCTTCCCTGCCCCAGTACCCCTGGGAGAAGATTCCAAAGAGGTAGCTGCCCCAAATAGACAGCTACTCACCTCTACAGAACGAATTGACAAACACATTCGGTACATCCTCGACGGCATCTCAGCCTTGAGAAAGGAGGTGGGTAGTCTTGGCGATGGGGCTGATGGGCCCCTGTGCGCATGCGTTCCTCTTGCCCTTGTGTGTGGACAGGGGCTGCCTGCATTAGAAGGTCTTTGCTGGGTTCTAGAACACTTTAGATTTGAGACCAACAGGGCCAACTAGACTGACTCCTGTATTTATCCTTTCCTGGTCTCAGGAGGTTCCTTTCCTTTCTGGAAAATGCAGAATGGGGCTGAAATCCATGCCTACCCTTGGCATGAGCTGAGGGCATTGCTTCTCAGGGCTTCCTTTTCCTTCACCAAAAAGTAAGGTCTGTGAAGCTCCTTTTTGTCTCTCCGGCTTTGAAAGGACTAGAAAAGTGCCACCTGAAAGGCATGTTCAGCTTCTCAGGGCCGCTGTAGTACTTTTTGGCTATGTAAACTCAATGGTTAGGATTCCTCAAAGCCATTCCAGCTAAGATCATACCTCAGAGCCCACCAAAGTGGCAAATCGTAAACAGATTAAAGCAACTCCCCACGTTCAACGCAAGGTATTTTGGTCCTATTTAGTATAAAGAAAAGAACACAGGAGAGGGGACTGGGAGCCCACACTTGAATTCTGGTTCTGCCAAACCAGATTTGTGATCTTGCCCAAGTTCCCTGCCACCCCTGCACTCTATCAGTAAAATTGTAGCGGTAGGTGATCTCATAGATTATATTCACGTAATTATTGTCAAAATTGCTGTCATTAAGTATCTACTATGTGCCAGGCACTTTAAATAAATATTGTGTATAATCTTCAAAAGAAACTTGCAAGGGAGATTTTTAGAGATAAGCAAACTGAGATTCAGGATTAAATAACACACCTGAAGTCACAGGTGAGCTTGGAACTGAACCCAAGTGTGCCCCACTCCACTGGAATTTGCTTGTCAGGATGCCAGTGAGTTACGGCTTCATTGTTTTTAGAGACTTTCCTGGCTGTGGTAGAACAATGAGAAGGCCCCCTAGTGGTGTTTGTTTTAGGGGCACTTACGTGATAACCGTTCTGGTTTTCTTTCCCAGATATGTAACAAGAGTAACATGTGTGAAAGCAGCAAAGAGGCACTGGCAGAAAACAACCTGAACCTTCCAAAGATGGCAGAAAAAGATGGATGCTTCCAATCTGGATTCAATGAGGTATAAACTTGTCCCACTCACTTTTCACTATTCCTTATCCAGAACTTCTCCCTCTTGCTTGCAGTGCCTACATACATAAAGATCCAGGTGGCAACAAAAAGGGGGTAGATGTAGAAAATGTTTTGTAAAGTTCATGACGAGGCCAACTTCAAGCTTTTTTTAAGGTAGTTTATTCTCGGACAGGTATGGCCAGAGATGGTCCCACTGTGTTGAGATTTTAACAACTGTCAAATGTTAGGAACTCACACAGGTTTAATTAGTTCATCCTGAGTAAGGTGGTCTCAGGGCCTTTTCCCTCTCTGGCTGCCCCTAGCAGGGTCCAGGTCTGCCCTTCCTCCCTGCCCAGCTCATTCTCCACAGTGAGACAACCTGTACTGACTTCTGATTATTTTATAAAAAGAGGCTCCAGCCCAGCATTGACAAGGGCAAGAGAGCAGGAAGAATATCAAGGGAGAGAATCAGAGAAGGATCCCCACTGCCACATTCTAGCATCTGCTGGGCTTTGGGTAAAACTAATTACATGGAGCCTCTGATTGTCCAGTTATTTAAAATGATGCTGTCCAGTGTCCCAAAACGTGCTGCCTAAGAGGTACTTGAAGTTCTCTAGAGGGGCAGAGGGAAAAGATGTTGAACTGTGGCAATTTTAACTTTTCAAATTGATTCAATCTCCTGGGGATAACCAATTTTCCCACCATCTTTCCTCTTAGGAGACTTGCCTGCTGAAAATCACCACTGGTCTTTTGGAGTTTGAAGTATACCTAGAGTACCTCCAGAACAGGTTTGAGAGTAGCAAGGAACAAGCCGGAGCTGTGCAGATGAGTACAAAAGGCCTGATCCAGTCCCTGCAGAAAAAGGTGAGTATGTTTTCATTCCCTCAACTTGGTATGGGGAAGACAGCTCAAAGACAGTGTCCTGGTCAACTCAGGGATGCAATGCTGCTTCTAAAAATGAAGGCTACGTGTAAACAAGAGTCTGGGAAATAGTTTCTGACAGTCATTGTTAAATCCTTGTTTGTTTGGTTGGTTGGCTCTCTTCTGCAAAGGACATCAATAACTGTATTTTAAACTATATTAACTGAGGTGGATTTTAACATCAATTTTTCATAATGTAAGAGATTAAAAAAAAAAGGCTGAAAGAAGTACATCCAGCCCCACCCAGTGATCCACAGAAACAAAGACCAAAGAGCACAAAATGACTTTAAGATTTTAGTTATCGCCAAGTGCATTCTTCTCATTGTGGTTGCTTCAACTCTTTTTCCTGCCTTTTACCAGGGAGTTAGTTCAGAGAAATGGCCAGAGACTCAAGGCTGGAAGAAGGTACTAAGGGCTTTGGCCACTAGCAGCTGGCTATTCAAATGGCAGGGAGTAAAGGGTTGCTGGCTAGCCTGTGGAGGAGCCAAAGCTCAATAAGAAGGGGCCTAGAATGAAACTCTTGGTGCTGATCCTGCCTCTGCCATTTCTACTTGTTTGCCTTAAGCCAGGGTTTCTCATACGTTCACATGCATGGAAATTCCCTGGGCATCTTGCTGTGATGTGAAGTCTGACTTGGCAGGCCTTGAGTGGGGTCGAGAGTCATATTTCTAGCAGGCTTATATCCCTGATGATGCTGCAGAATTCCAAGACCACACTTAGAGGTTCAAGGCCTTCCACAAGTTACTTATCCCATGTGGGTGAGCGTATGGAAAGGTGTTTTTCAGTCCTCTTTACATCACCAGATCAGTGGTCTTTCAACAGATCCTAAATGGATGGTGAAAGGGAAACTGGAGAAAAGCATTAGATTTAGAGGCACTGAAGAGCTCACATTAAAATGCCTTCAAGTATGGGCTCTTCATTCATAGGTTAAAGATGAACTATGTGCCAGGCATTATTTCATATGACAGAATACAGACAAATAAGATAGTGATGCTGGTCAGTCCTGGTGGCTCATGCCTGTATTCCTTGCACTTTGGGAGCCTGAGGTGAGAACTCCTTGAACTCCTAAGGCCAAGAGTTCAAGACCGGCCTGGACAACATAGTATGATCCCCTCTCTACGAAAACAAAAACAAAAAGATAGTGGTGCTTGCCTCAGGATGCTTGTGGTCTAATGGGAGACAGACAGCAAAGGGATAATTAGAAGTTGGTTGCTATAAGCCAGGCATAGTACTGATATAATCCCAGCACTTTGGGAGGCTGAGGCAGGTGGATCACTTGAGGCCAGGAGTTCAAGACCAGCCTGGCCAACATGATGAAACCCTGTCTGTACTTAAAAATGCAAAAAAATCAGCCAGGCATGGTAGCACATACCTGTAACCCAGCTACTCCGGAGGCTGAGGCACAAGAATTGCTTGAACCTAGGAGACAGAAGTTGCTTCTACACCACTGCGCTCCAGACTGGGTAACAGAGCAAGATCCTGTCTCAAAACAAACAAACAAAAAAGTTTGTTGCTGTAGAGGGTCCTACTCAGGGCAGGCCCCCCCCCATTAGTCTCATTCACCCCATATTTCACATTTGAACACTATCCCATAGCCCAGAGCATCCCTCCATTACAAAGGATTTATTCAGTATTTAAACAATCCTCTTTGCTTTCTTTTCTCTTCAGGCAAAGAATCTAAGTGCAATAGCCACCCCTGACCCAGCCACAAATGCCAGCCTGCTGACGAAGCTGCAGGCACAGGACCAGTGGCTGCAGGGCGTGACGACGCATCTCATCCTGCGCAGCTTTAAGGAGTTCCTGCAGAACAGTCTGAGGGCTCTTCGGCAAATGTAGCGTGGGCACCTAAGATCGTTGTTGTTCATGGGCATTCCTTCTTCTGGTCAAAACCTGCCCACTGGGCACAGAACCTATGTTGTTCTCTATGGAGAACTAAAAGTATGAGCGTTAGGACACTACTTTAATTATTTTTAATTTATTGATATTTAAATATGTGAAGCTGAGTTAATTTATGTAAGTGATATTTATATTTTTATGAAGTACCACTTGAAATATTTTATGTATTAGTTTTGAAATAATAATGGAAAGTGGCTATGCAGTTTGAATATCCTCTGTTTCAGAGCCAGATCATTTCGTGGAAAGTGTAGGTTTACCTCAAATAAATGGCTAACTTATACATATTTTTAAAGAGATATTTATATTGTATTTATATAATGGATAAATTGTTTTTATACCAATAAATCATATTTTTAAAAATCAGCAACCAAGTCTGTGTGTGTCATGTGAAGCTTAATATAAACAAGTTTCTTGTTACTGCCACCATCGCCACCAAATAAAAAACCTATAATCAATCACATGATTGATACAAGCATCTACTACATGCCAGCCATCATAAATGTGTTGCATCCATCTCGTCTTTAACCCCAGCACTTGTACACTCTTTCCTAGTTGTGGAAAACTAAGTGATTTATCTAAGTCAGTCACCTGGAAGGTCAGGCAGGGGCCCTGACTTGAAATCTAAGTCTACCTGCCTGCAGGTCCCCTACTTCTAACCTGTCAGTCCCATTGCCTCCCAGGAACTAAGGGATGATGTAGAAAATCTCAAAACCTGTTAATATAGGGAATATCTATAAACATGCAATAAAAATCTTTAGTCCCATATGACGACTGTCTAAGGCATAACAATGTGCAAGCTTCCAAATAATAACTAGAAGTTCTGCCTCCCTCTTCTAAATTCCTAAAGCACTGCACCTATCTACCTGTCAAAGCATCTACCACATTGTACCACACATTAAAATCAATGGTTTTTCTTTCCAGCCAGGAGGTACATGCCTCAAGAAAGCAGATTCCTTTCATGATGTAAAACTAATTTCAGGAGAAAAAAAAAAAAAAAAGATGAGCCAGGCACAGTGGCTTATGACTGTAATCCCAGCACTTTGGGAGGCTGAGTTGGGAATGTCACTTGAGGTCAGGAGTCCAGCCTGGCCAACATGACAAAACGCCATCTCTACTAAAAATACAAAAATTAGCTGGGCATGATGGGTATGCCTATAATCTCAGCTGAGACCGGCGAATGGCTTGGGCCTGGGAGGGGGAGCCTGGGGTTGCACTCCAGCCTGGGCGACGGAGGGAAATTCTATCTCAAAAAAATAATTTAAAAAATAAATGAGTTTTTTTTTTCAAAGACTCTTTCCCATATTAATCTTTGCATTCTGTGCCCATGGCCCCAAACCTGAACAATGAAGGTCCCAGTAAACATTTTTGAGTGAAAAAAAAATACACAGATGATCAAAGATAAGAAGACCCTTCAATTCTTGTAAGCATACAGTGTTAGTGGAAATAGCTAATTCTGTGTGTTTCTGTATCTTCATCTTACAGAAAAATAGCAAGAATTAGAAACATTCAAGGACTTCCAGAGAAGGCAATGAATAGCCAGTGCATATACACCTACCTCCATTTCCTTTGCCACTGCAATGATCTTCATCTGCCCTCTCCCCTCCCCACCAAGAGTGGTAGTGAGAGAGGCAATCTGGACAGCTTAACTTGGCCTTGCTGTTTCATTTCAACACGATACTGGGAATTTGGTACAGATTTCCCCTTTCTAGCCCCTGCAATATAAAAATTCTGTCTCCTTAATAGAGCTTTTCCCCACCCTACCTGCTACAGACTTCTTCCTACAGGGGAGGAGTTCTGCTGGGCAAGGGAAAGTCCACTGAGGTAAAAAACCGAGAGGAGTTGAGCCAGAAAAGAGGCACATACTCTAATTTCTAGAAACTGTGCATCACAAGTGGGCTTCCCAAAACTAGGGTCAAGTCAAAGAACAGAGAAATTGCGGTCAACTGATGCGTTCATTCTTCAAACAAAATGGGTTGAGTGCCATAGATAACTCAGGGAAAGCTCGTGAGAAAGAGGTGAAAGGTAGACATGATGATCCCTGACCTTTTGTGCCATATACTATGGAAAGGAAAACAGAAATTTAATAAAGAATGTTAAGTGTGATGCGGTTTCCAAAAAGAAATGTGGGCTATGCTGAGAACCCATACTAGGGGCACCTGGTTTGGCTGCTTACTGCTTGAAAGACAGACATGAGAGAAAAGGTAGTGGGGAGAAAAGCCAGTTCATCAGAGAGCCAGTAAACCATAGATGATGAGCTAGCATTTTAAAGTATCATCTTGAATTTTAAAATGTATCACAGTAGTTTTTGAAGAGAAACTTGGTATGGGAGATATGTGGAAGTGGTGTGGGGTATAGGGTCTGTGTGTCTTGTTCTGATGGCTATCTCAGGTAGGTTACCTGTCAGGAGGTCTGTTTGGTGTCATCTTGACTTCAGCCAGATGATGCACTGATTGTTCGTGATTCCTTCTAAGCAGGAGGATTCTGCAATGGGGTCTCCCTGCCTGGTTTGTTTCAAGATCAGCCTCTGGGATTTTTTTTTTTTTTTTTTTTTGAGACGGAGTTTCGCTCTTGTTACCCAGGCTGGAGTGCGATGGCGCGATCTCGGCTCACCTCCCGGGTTCAGGCAATTCTCCTGTCTCAGCCTCCAGAGTAGCAGGATTACAGGCATGTGCCACCATGCCCAGCTCATTTTTTGTATTTTTAGTAGAGACAGGGTTTCACCATGTTGACCAGGATGGTCTCGATCTGTTGACCTCGTGATCCACCCGTGCTGGGATTACAGGCTTGAGCCACTGCGCCCAGCCGCCTCTGGGATTTTTAAAGCAAGAGAATCATTAGATAAACATGCATTGCCAGAGGGGAGTGTCTAGAGAGGGAAGAAATGAAGACGTGAGAGGAAAGGAAAGGAAGAAATAGTAGGTGAGAGGCAGAGTAAGATGTTGGAATACAAAGCTCCACCAATGGTCCCCCTGGCAAGGACACCAAGTTAACAACTACATAGAAAAAAACACCTTCATAAGAATCAAAACTCAGGTGAGCACACATAGTACCTGGTTTTAACTTTATATCACTAAAAGAGGCACTGGACTGATTAAAAACCAGTCCTGAATCTTGATGCTGCCCCTCCCCTACCCGCAGCAGCCGTGGTGTGTTGTGGAGAATGTCTCTGGGCGCTGGGAGAAGGAGGACACATCAACTGTGGGGCAATGAACTAACTCAGCACTGTCCTGTTAGAGGAGAAAGAAAAACCAGACTAAACTCAGCTGATGTCCACTTACAGAGGGAGCACTTAAACCAGTCCTAGCCAGAGGGGAACTGTCAATCCCAGCAGTCTGAACATGAGTGGCCACAGACCTCGCCACCAAGGGCCAAACTTGAAAGGCAGTCTAGGCCATAAGGATTGCAACTCTTAGGCAAGTCCTAGGGCTGAACAATGCCCAGAGACCTAGCGGACTGAGGGGGCATGTGACATGCTGAGATACTAGCTGAGGCAGCCAAGGGAGTACTGGCTTCACGCCTCTGGGCTGCACAAGTTGTAGCTTTAAAAGAGACATTTTCTTTCTGCTCAAGGAGAGAAGATAGAAAAAGAGGACTTTGCCTTGCATCTTGGATACCAGCTCAGCTACATAGGGCACTGGTCAGAGTCATGAGGCCCCCGTTCCAGACCCAAGCCCCAGTCAACATTTCTAGACATATCCTGGGCTAGAAGGGAACCCACTGCCTTGAATGAAAGGACACAGTCCTGGCAGCATTCATCACATGCTAACTGAAAAGCCCTTGGGCCCTGAGTAAACAGCAGCGATACCAGGGTACTATGCCAAGGGCCTGGGGTGAGCCTCTGAGACTTGCTGGCTTCAGGTGAGACTCAACACATTGCTAGCTGTGATGGTATGGGGCAAAACTCCTCCTGCCTGAGAAAAGCAGAGGGAAAAGTAAACGGGGCTGTGTCTTGTTGCACCTTAGGTACCAACACTACCACAAGGGAGTCGAGCACCAAGTAAAATCTTGGGGTCCCCAATTCCAGGACTTGACTTCACACATTTCTGAACCCACCCTGGGCCAGATAGGCCCATTGCCCTGAAGGGTGAGTCCCAGGACAGGCAGCATTCACCACAAGCTGACTTAAGAGACCTAGGGCCTTAAGGGAACATCCATGGTAGTCTGGTAGCACTCCTCAAGGCTGTTAGGGTAGAGGGGTGGGCAGTAGTTACAGGGTCAGGCTCCTCTGCCTTTGAAAAGGGGAGGGATGACCAATATGATGAAACCCTACCTCTACTAAAAATACAAAAATTAGCCAGACGTGGTGGTATGCGCCTGTAGTCCCAGCTACTCAGGAGACTGAAACAGGAGAATTGCTTGAACTCAGGAGGTGGAGGTTGCAGTCAGCTGAGATCATGCCATTGCACTCCAGCCTGGGTGACAGAGGGAGACTCCATCTCAAAAAAAAGAAAGAAAAGGGGAGGGAAGAGTGAGAACTGCATCTTGTGGGTTGAGTGCCTGCTCAGTCGCAAGACAATAAACTAAAAAGTAGACTTCTAGGTTTTTTACTCTAGTCCCTAACTTCCAGATGGCACTTCTGGACCCATCCTGGGGACCTCACCACCCTGAAAGGAAGAATACAGGCCTGGCTGACTTTGCCATCTGCTGATTGTTGAGCCCCATGGTCTTCAGCAAACATAGGCAGTAGCCAGGGAGTGGTTACAGCAGGCCTTGGGTAAGACCCAGTGCTGTGCTGGTGTCAGGTCTGATCCAGTGCATTCCTAGTGGTGGTGGCCATAGTGGTGCTTGTGTCACTTCACTCCCAGCTTTAGGTGGCTCAGAACAGAGAGAAAGAGACTCAGTATGTTTGGGAGAAAGTAAAAGAAAAGAACAAGAGTCTCTGCCTGGTAATCCAGAGAATCCTCCAAGACCCTGTCCAAGACTATCAAGGCAGTACCTTTATGAATCTGCAAAAACCACAGCATTACTGGGTTAGAGGTGCCCTCTAAAGAAGAAGCAGCTTGGATTACAACACCCAGGTCCTTTCAAATACCTGGAAATCCTTTCCCAGAAGGACAGCTACAAATAAGACAAGACAATTAAGACTACAATAA